AAAACCCTGGCTTTTCCTTAAGGTATTTGTCAGATTTTAAACCTCTGTGGAGGTGGGGAATTAAAAGGTACACTCAAAAGCTTCCTAGGTTATATGTTTCAAGGCCCAAGAGGAAAATCACCTGCCAGTCTTTCAGTCAGTGAACTTGGATATTTATGCTCAAGGAAATAGAGTAAAACGAGAGGTGAATTAGATCTCAAAACAGTAGCTCAGTCCTAATCCAACTTAAGTGGATCAAGAAAACCTCCTTTTCTTTCAATCTGTCTGAGAGAAAACAGGATAGAAACTATTTGTGATAGAAACTATTATTTGAAATTGCTGTACTTTTATCTACAGTGGAAATAAAAAATTACCAGATGTTCAAACAACATGGAAAATGTGACTAAAACTCTAAAGAGTAACTATGTAATTGGAACAGACTCCAGGTGACCCAGATATTGGACAGAAAAGAACTTACAGAAAATAAGAAAAAATGGACATGATCAAATTTTCAACTTCTTTAGGCATAGAAGGGATTGGAGGAAAGCTATGTTTGAAGATATAATTAATGACCAAGAATTCCATAAACAAATGGACAGACTCAACCAATAAACTCAAAGCGAGTATCCTAAGTAGGAAAAATGTAAAAGAGAAACCTAACACAGGCCTATCTTAAGCTGTAGAAATAAAGACCGGAAAACCATTTAAAAGCCATCTAAAACAATTAAGAGCTAATATTAAGTAGTAAAAAATTGAATGTACTACCTCTGCATTTTGGAGTAAGCAAAATTCAGAAGGATCTGATGCCACAATTAGGAAAAAGGTGAAGAGTTTAAAGATTTGAAAAGAAAGCTTAAAACTTGTATTGTAGATGACATCCACATGTCAGAATCTATAGACTTAGCATTAATAATTGTCAATTTAGCTAAATTGGTAAATATAAAGATAAGATATCAAAACTATTTTAGATCTATACAACACAAAAATCAGGAAAAGATAATTGTAAAATCCCACTCACGATAGCATCAGAGTGTCAGATTCTCTGGAATAACTCAAAAGATATATAAAGTCCACTATATTAAAAATGTTGCCATGGGCTAGGGATTCAGCTCGCAGCAAAAGGGCCTGCATGGCAAGCATGAGTTTGATCCCTGGTACCCCCCCCCCCCCGCCCCCAGTGTTGCTGAGAGAAATGATGAAGACCTAAACAAGTGGAGAGATACACTACAATATTGTATTCAATACTGTTAAGATGTTTCTATTTCAGTCCTAGTCACAATCTAAGCAGGGCATTTTTTATGGGGAGAAGTTTATATGGAAATACTAAAGACCTAGAGTAGCCTGAGATAATCTTGAAGAAGAACTAAGAAGACTTACTCTAACCAAGAGTTGGGCTACAATAATGAAGACAAGAAAATGCTGTTGTGAGAATAGACAAGTTGTCTTAGTTACTTTATGCTATCGCTGAGACAAAATACCTGATGCCCAAGTTAGGAAAGGAAAGGTTTACTTCTTACAGTTTTTGGCAGGTTTTAGTCCACGCTCAGTTGGCTCCCAGGCAGGCAGGCATGGCTGGGCTGCCTTTCATGGCGGCTGCAAACAGCAAACTCGAACCAGCAAAGAGCAAGACACACCTTCTTCCTGCCATTATATCATATCCTGGCTCCACCCCTTTGTGGTTGGAGCACTGACACCATCAATTCAAGCACTAGACAATGAACGAACAACAAAGGCACAATTCAAACTTATGAGGGCTGGGGCACACAGACATAAAACATGACACAAAGTAATGGAATGAGCTGTATTGTCTGGTATGCATTCTACTAGCCATATGCAGCTAGTATGCACTTGCCACATGTCAGATGTGCTAAGTGTAAAGTCCACACTGTATTTTACAGACACAGTATAAGAAGAAGAACATAAAAATATTTTAATGCTTATATCAATTATGTGTTGAAATGACTATTATTATTATTAATTTTTTTTGGTCTTTTTCCTTTTTATCAGTACCAGGGATCGAACTCATGACTGCCTGCTTGCAAGGCAGGTGCTTATGCCGCTGAGCTAAATCCCCAGCCCCGAAATGAACAATATTTTTGACATACTGGTTTTAATAACTGCTATAAAACTTAAAATTATATCTGTGAATTAATGATGTTGGCAACAAAGATTTCTGAGTTAGGGTACAAAAATACTACTCAGGAGAGGTAAAGTGACTGTAATCTTAGCGCTCAAGGGCTGAGGCAGGAGGATTATTGCAAGTTCAGGATCAGCTATGGCTACAAAGTGAGCTCAAAGCCAGCCTGAAAAAAAAGACCCTGAAAAAAAAAAAGAAAAAGACGCGATAAAGTAGATTATGTAAAACTTTTGTTTGTTAAAAGCTGCATTAAGAGATTGAAAGGGCACCATAAACTGGTAAAAAGTGTTGGTGATCTGTATATCTGCTTTACATAATATAAAGAGCGTCAAATTAAAAAAATGTCTCTAAAGTCAAATTACTTGAATAAAAAGTTCACAAAAAAGGGATTCCCACTGGCTGGAAATCATATAAAGAGGTGTTCATTCTCAATTACCGTGGACATGTGAATTGAAGAGGTAAAACTATATATCCACTAGAAAGGCCAGTGTGTTAAAGCTGTCACATCAGCTTGGAACCTCCACACACTGCTGGCAGTGTAAGAATGTTACAGTGAAAATATTGCACAGTATTTAAAAGATGACTAGCCCACCTTGTGATTTCATTTGTATGAAGTCTAATAATTGGTAAAACTATGAATGGTAGAAGTCTCAATAGTGATTACTATCTAATATTGATTACTAATTACTCAATAGTGAATTTAAGAGTTCCAGAATTTTGGAAAGATTTTTAACTTATCTCAGTAGTAGTTTTGTGTGTATGTATATGAAAATTATCGCATGATACACTTGAGATTTATGTACTCCATATGCAGTACCTCAGTGAACAGTGTTAGCACATAGTTCTTTGATGATGAAGACTGTGTGTGTGTGACTTACTTATGCAAGACTAGTACATAAATACCAAAAGGACCCAGCAAATAATGTTCAGTGAGATTTGGGAAAGAAGTTAGTTCATTAATCATTTCTGTTCACTTGCACCTGTTACTTTGTTCACTGTCCATTTGGAATAGTCAAATGAAACCTAGCTTTGGCCCTTTGCAGTCATAGTTAACATGTGACATGTTTGGGTATTCTGAGAAAGAAGAGACTTTTTAATGATAGATCTGTGTGTTTTATTTTCTATATATTTTCCTTGTTGTTTAGCATTCCACAAATATCTACTGAATGCTTATCTTTGCCTGACATTTTTCTAGACAAGTAGATATATCAGTAACTCAGATAAAAAGGATTCCTGTCTTCAGAAGATTTACATGTAAAAGTTTAAAATAGGCAATATTTGATCCCCAGTAGCCCCCAAAAAAACCAAAAAAGCAAAAACAAAACAGGCAATAAAATTGGATTCCTTCTGCTTTGATGGCCTTTCTTTGCGTAAGAATCAAGCAGAACAAATACTTCAGCAGAAAAACAGAAGCTTGTGTTTCTGTTCCTTCTAAGTACAGTTTAGTTGCCTTCTTGTTGATCAGTGAAAAAGGACTTTCGTCAATTGGATTAACTTTGGCATGGTACCTAGCATAATGCTACGTGTCTGGGGAGTGAACTAAATATTTATGACCTTTGAGGGTATCTGTCTGTGCCTGCTTGCTGATGTCTGTAATACTTTGCTGCATATACCTTCCTTGTCTTTTACTATCATCACTTTTCTGAGAAGAATTGATTTAAGATCTCAAGATACATTAATGCTTTCTGAAATGCTGTAGCTTTGGGACAATTGAGCCTTAGAATGAGTCTACCAAAGTGATCGTGCCACACAGATTGTACTGTGGAATGCTCCAGCCAGGAATGTAGGGTAGTAAGTTTAGCAACAGAGGTTGTTGTGATGTGTTTTTTTCATGTATTATTTTAAGTCTTACATTATGATAGTTCTGGAAAGGTCCATACTGCATATAAAACTGCCAAAATAAAACCACTCAACGTCTTGGAAAGAATTAAACATTCAGTGTTCTGACTCAGTGGATCCTTCTGAAGTTTGTCCTTTTTAATACAGATTTTTTTAATGATAAATACTCGGTCCATAGGAATTTTAGAGGCCTAGAAATTTTGGTGTGTATCTCGGGTAGGTATCTATTTTCTGTTGAGATGAGGTTTGCATTCAAAGGATGATGGGTTAAACACAAAGTCATTTCCAGGTAAGAGAGGAAACATGATAGAGTTTGGTAGAATATAGTTTTCCTTTGTTTTTGCCTAGTGCTTACTATTCACAAAATGCTTTTGCATACCATTTTATCCTCCTAGTAACCGAGTGTATTTCTTCCTATTACTCTAACCTCTGTATGGAAACTAAGAAATAGCAGTTGACTTGCCCAAATAGCTGGTGAGTGTTAGAATTTGGACTTTCAGCTTATAAGGTACAGAGCTTCTTATCTGTTACAGCTTTCTGAAAATTTTCTGTAGCAACTGTAGGAAGTTTTAAGAGAAGGGAAGTTCCAGGTTAAGGTAGATCTGAAGTTCAGTCTGAAAAACAGAATGGTTCCTCTGCCTATGAGAAGGATGTATCCTGCATTAGAACACATTTCTTTGAATTCCAGCTTTGCAAAATGTTTGCAATCTTCTGACTCTGGGCTGATGGGAGAGGTACTTAAGTAGTCAGAGGTAGATTTTGGAATAAAATAGTACAGGTTGAGCATCCCTACTCCAGAGTTCCCAAATCCAAAATGCTGTGAAATCTGAAAAAATTTTGAGCACCAACATGATTCTCAGCAGTTTTGAATTTCATGTTTTAAGATTAGGGATACTCAGTTGTGCAAATACTTCAAAGTCTAAGGAGCTCTGAAATCTCAAACACTTTGGGTCCTAAGCATTTCAGATAAAGGATACTCAGCGTATACTTCTTAGAGAAGTATTTTCTTGGATTCTGTTTGCAATAATTTTTAATCTGTTTGCAGGAGCCACCAGAAGATGATGCAAACATCATTGAGAAGATATTGGCATCTAAGACCATTCAAGAGGTTAGTGACTCCTGTTTCTAGTTTTATATCTGACACAGATTATGCTCTCTGTGAAGAAATATTTAGCTAGAGAATCTGGAGTAGTCATTCCTGGGTGAAGTGAAAGTTTGGCAATATTATTGTCAGTCTACTCAATACTTTATTTTTACCCCCATGAAAGATTTTGGGACATAAAATTATTAAATTTATAGAATGGCTCAAATTTATAGTTTTCTCCATTGTTATTCTAACCATAGGCATTTTTATACCTTAGTTTTTGTTTTTTAGCTAATTAAAAGTCATCAGTGCTTAAAAACAAAAGGAAAAAGAGTCCTAATGGAAAAGTATTGGGATTTATTTTCCTGTAGACATCTTAGGGCCATTGGAGGACTCCCCTAGATAGAATTCTTTGAGTGAGAGTATGTAGTCGCTGGTAAGAGCATAGCTTTATTTTTTCTTCCTGTATTTGTGATATAAACTTCCTTGCCATTGCTTCACGGGAGTGGTATGGGGGATACCAACCATGAGTGAAATCACTTGGCACCAGGCTGCAGTCTTGACATTTCTCAAAGCCCTGGACCAATTCTGGTTGGAAGCTGAATTGCTTGGAATATAACAAATAGCTCTGTATTTGGCCTTTGGAAAACCCAGCCAATAGCTTGTTAGGAAGAGGCCTGGAAAAATGAAAGTATTCTCAAGAAATGTTTATTTAAACTAGGCCAAGGTGTTGGTTTGCCTGTTTTCTCTTGGTTTAGAAGGGTGATTTGCCTGGAATCTAGGCTGATAGCAGGTTGTTGTTTGTTACAGGTTCACCCAGGAGAACCTCCATTTGACCTAGAGCTATTCTACGTTAAGTATAGAAATTTGTACGTCTATTTAATATATATTTGGATTTCATTTGAAAATTCGTTTCCCATGACACTGTATTCTCTTTCTTCTGTATTTTTAGAAACTGGCCCCTAAAGCATGACCCACAGATTTTGGCTGAATCCAGTTCTTCTGAAGCAATAGCATTTAATTTTGGCTGCATGGAAATTCCCCTGAAAAGCTTTTTAGACTACTCAAGTCCCTCTTCCACCTAAGACCAGTTGACTCAGACTCAAAATGGGCCCCAAAGAGTGACATTTTTTAAAAACACCCTGGGCAATTCTCATATGCACCTAGGGTAGCAAACTGCTGTCCTACAGTATGTGCCCTTTTCCCTTTTACACTTTCCTGTCTCTCTACTACTTGTACATGTTCACTAGCGTGCATTTGGTAGCCTGCTCATATCTGACCATCCTTCTGCTCTAAGCCAGTTTCTGTGGAAGCTGCAGAGAGCTCAGTCCCTTGGAATTACACCATTTTGTGGGGTTCCTGTTGTGCATCTTAAGGCCAAGGCCTTTCTAAGCAGTCTTAACAGTTTCACAGCAGACCACTCTGCTATGTAAGATCATCTTCCTGTTTATTGACATCTTAAAGCTCAGTCATTTGCTAGCTGTGTGTGTCTCACATTTTGTGTATCTTTGGATAGTTCCTACTTACATTGTAAATGGGCTACAATGGAAGAGCTGGAAAAGGATCCTCGCATTGCACAGAAGATCAAGCGATTTAGAAACAAACAAGCACAGATGAAGCACATTTTTACTGAGGTGAAGCAAAATTTACTGACTCATTTGACTGGTGCTTTCATTGCAGTATTAAATGTTAGGTTTAAGTTTCAATTCACGTTAAAGTTCTACACAGATTCGTTGTTCAAGTCAAATTGTGTATTCTTTTATATGCACTGTTTACATCTGGATAGGAGTATAGCTAGATCTGACTGTCAGAAGAGTAGTGCAACAAGAGGCATCAGATGTCCCAGAGCCTGCATATCCTTTGTCCCTGAAGTTCTACCGTTTATTTTAATGAAATTATTAACTCTGCACAAAGATTTAGCTATGATAGCATTGTTTATATTTGGTGAACAATTGGAAGCAAACAAAATGTTAGATAATGGACATTTATTTTCTTAATTTTTATTTTTAGTAGTACATGTTTGTAGTCATAATGATTGCATTCATCATGGGGAGTTGGTATGTGTACATAACACATCTTAGTTCTTTTTATATCTTCTTGCTTTCATTTCCTCCCTTCCTCTGTCTCTTGGTTTCTTCTCATTTGCAAAAGATCTATCTCCTTGTTTCCTACTATGTCTTTTATTTGCTCTTTAATTAATTCATTTATTTATTTTTGTCTTTTTCCTTTTTATCGGTACTGGGGATTGAACTCACGACTGCCTGCTTGCAAGGGAGGCGCTTATGCCGCTGAGCTAAATCTCCAGCCCCTTTTAATTTATTTTTACTTTGGATTTTTCTTTCTTTCTTGTTTTATTTTTGTTTGTTTTATTTATTGGTTTTTTTTTTTTTTTCTGTTTTTGTTTTTTGAGACATGGTCTTGCTATGCAGTGATCTTGAACTTACTAAGTAACCTGAACTGGCCTCAAACTTGCAGTGTTCCTCCTGCCTTAGCCTTCTAAAAGGTGGGATTACAGGCATGCACCACCTTACCTGGCTTGGATTTTTCATACTTGCTTGTGTGCCTGATTTATTTTACTTAAAATTAAGGTTTCAGAATTGTGATTTATAATTACTGTAAATCCTGGAGAATGGAATATTGTACATCTAGTTAAAATATTAGAGAAAAATTATTAGTAAGGTAGAAATCTGCTTGGTGTAACAAACTTTTCATGAAAAATGTCAGGCTCCGATATTATCTGGGAAAGTTTCCATTTGGGTGGTGCAGGAGAACAGAAGTGCTCTAACAATGCATGGAAAATGTTTTGAATAAATATATGCAAATGTTAACACCATTTTCTGTGGTTGTTGGGATTATGGTAAATTCTGTTTTCTTCTCCTTTTTTACATATAATTTTCAATTTTGAGTAATGTTTGCAGAAAAGAAGCCAAAAATTTTTCTTACACTATAAAGTTATTAATACTAGACCCTGGGGCTGGGGATTTAGCTCAGCGGCATAAGCACCTGCCTTGCAAGCAGGCAGTCGTGAGTTCGATCCCCAGTACCGATAAAAAAATGAAAAAAGACCAAAAAAAAAAAAAAATACTAGACCCTAATGAATACACTCAGATGTAATCAAATTATAGTAAATTGCTGAGCACACTTACCCAATTTATGAACGTTGTGTTCTGTTTCCTCAAGTGATAAAAATTACTTTAGAATAATGTCAGTGAACATTCCCCTTATCCCCAATATAAATCTATCCTATTTAAGCTTAAAGTTTGGCCCTTGCCCTCTTCTATGATTGTATTAAACCTATGAGAACTTTTTTCATGACAGTGTTGATCTAATAAGGACTTCTTCCTTTTTGAGGCAGGGTCCCAATCTGTAATTCAGAATGACCTTAAACTCACTATGTAGCTCAGATTGGCCTTGAACTCAAGGGAGTCTTCCTGCCTCAGCCTCCTGAGTGCTGGAATTACACATAGGCACCACCACTCCTGGCAAAATCTTTCTTGAAACCTTATTGGTTATTATCACTATTTCTTAGACTATCTTACTAACACACATTTCTTAGCAAATATTTGCAATACAGTAAATTGTTTACATGTCAGCTTCTTCTGTTTTGAGCCCTGCAAGATAGACAATCCATGTCTTTTTCCTAGTTCTATCCCTGGCACTAGGCACAGGGTCAATGCCCAGTAGTTGTCTGGGGAGGAGAGTCTGCCTTACACCAGTCCCCTGTTTCAGACTCTTCAGCACTTCCCTTTTTTTTTTTTGAATGACATCCAGACTCCTTAATACAACCTATGCAGCCTTGTGTGTGTGCTTTCTGATATATTCCCGAGGAAGTTTTTTCCTGGTTGGGGACAGATAAGGATCTATGAGGGGGTCTAGAAATAACGTAACAGGAGTTCATACTGCAGCAAGAAAATTAGATATATCCTGAAGTTGAGAATGAGTAACAGGAGGGAGTACTTCCTCTAATAGTATCTTTGATCTCAACATAATTGGCATTTTTGTCAGTAACTTGATTAAGTGTTCTTGTAATTTTTCTTTTTTATCTTTTATTTTTTGGTACTGAGGTTTGAACTCACCTCCTTGTGCTTGTCAGGCAGGTGCATGTGCCACAACTAGAGCATCCTAAGAGCCACTGTTTCCGGTTGCAAGGTAGCCAGGAAACACGGAAGGAGGATCCTATACAAGTGGCTGCAGGTTCCCACCCAGCACAGAGATGAGAGAGGGCCTTCCGACTTAAAATCCCCACTCCTGGAAACCCAGATTTTATCAACCACATCAGTGCTGGAAGAGCAAATGACAAAGTCAAAGTTCAGGTTTGCCTGGCAAAGCAAGCATAAGCAAAACAAGAAATAAATGTAATAGCCTACAGTGGTATTTTAAGAAACTTTATAATTTAGAAATGGGAAAAAGCAGTAGCAGTTCCAGGGAGAAAGGGAACAGCCATTTTATTTTCCTGTAAGTTTACTGTGAGCAAAGTTACACAAATCCTAGCCCGCATTGCTAGAAGAGTACCTCTGTGCCTTGCTGTTTTCATTCCTCAGTGTGTCATTCATCTGAGAACTAGGACCCATTGAGGACTTTGGAAACCCTGAGAGGACTGTAGTGATGGTAGAGGGATGGAAGCATAGCAGAACGAATAAGAACGAAGGTGGAAGGTGGGCTGCATGATGGTCAGAGCCTGGGCTCTGTAATCAAACTGCTGAGGCTTCCTCCTCGTCCCAGCACGCGCACATGTGTGCGTGCACACACGCCAAGCTGGGAGCTGGGAGCCACCTGCATAAACTCCTCTGAACTCAGCATCTTTCTATGTGTCAAGTGGGACTCCTGGGCTATCAGCCTTGTGGATACCTATGAATAAATGACACAGTGATGTTTTTTGAGCTTTATTGATAGAATTGACAAAAATTGCATACAGTTAAGGTATATAACTTGATGTTTTGATTAAATAATTACCATAGTGAAGCTAGTTAGCATATTTATTGCTTTACATAATTACCATTTTCTGCATTGCCCCCCCAATACTGAAGGTCTATCCTCTTGCAAATTTCAAGTATATAATACAATATTTTTTTACTATTATCCTTATACTGTACTTTGGATCTTTGGACTATTTACCTACATTACTGAAATTTTGATCTTTGAGCAATATCTGTGCCACCCCTCTGCCCCTGGCAACTATCATTCTATTCTCCTTCTATGAGATTGGTATATTCAATGCATAAGTGTAATCATGTAGTTTTGTCTCTGTGTCTGGCTTGTGACACTTAGCATAGAGCATGGTGTCCTCCATATTCATCCATGCTGTCGCTAAAAAGATTTTCTTCTTTTTTTAAGACTAGTACTCCCTTGTGTGTGTATATACACTACACTTTCTCTGTCTATTATGGATAAACACTTAGCTTGTTTCCACATCTTGACTGTCATGGACAATAAATGGCACTGTGTCTATAGGGGGGTTTAACGTGGTTCCTGACCCATAATCACTATAAATATTCCATAAATATGAATTCTCTATATCATTCAGAGAGTTGGCAATAGAACATATGTAGAATAGTTGGGCAACCTGGCTTTTTTTTTTTAAAGTAGATAGAGAAGAGATGTTAAAGAGCCAGCTCAGAGGAGAGACTCAGAGTAATGATACCTCAGTTCACGAACTGAATTCTTTCCATGATTCTGACAAACAAAATTAGATAGGAACTGAATCAAATTTCCCCATAAGGTCAGCATTTAACCTGACTATTGATTTGGTTCTTGTCCCATTCAGTTTGCAGTCAGAATCATGGAAAGAGATTAAGTTTGTGAACGGAGGTACCACTGCACTTGCTGCTCCTATTGTGGCTGCAGTTCACATTAGTGTTAGTTAAAGGAAGGAAGCTTAAGCCATGGTTTAAAGAATAATGATAAAGACTGTGATACTACTAGACAGGTAGAGATAAGTGGATCAAGATAGTAAATTTCTCAACAGGAGCAATTGAATTTGAGGTTTCCCAGGAATGCAAAGTATTTCTGCACTGATTAGACAATGAAACTGGATACCCTTAAAGTGCCTTCCATCCTGCAAGACAATAAGAACATCCCAGTGGTCCAGGATTAGGGTCTCTAGGTAAGAAAGACCTGAGTGACCATTCTTTTTACACAGCTCTATGACCTTGGTCATAATGCTTAACCCCTTTGATTCATTTCCCTCATCCATAAAGTAATTTTTTCAATTACGGACTCGAAAATGTAGTTTTGAGCATGAATAAAAACACTCAGTGTAGCTCTGGACATTCATTAAGTATTCCTAAATATTGCTTATTGTTGATTTAAAATAAACCTTTTTGAAGCATAATAAACATTAAATAAATTATAAATATTCATCTCAGTGAATTATACAAAATAACTTTGGTAACTACTACCTAAATCAAGAAATACAAGTGTATCAGTAACCAGTAAAGTCTGTTTATGTCCCTTCTAATGTCTTGTCCTTATTAAGTAAAAGAAATATAATTCCAAGTTGGCAAGGGAGCCAAGGGCCAGTAATGCAAAGGTAATCCTTGTGATTTTTCTATATTGCTGTAATGTAGAAAACTTTGGCATAGTGATCATGTACCCTCCAAGATAGTTGGATCCTTTCAATTATTTAATCATGGAGACCAGAATTTGGGGATAGTGAAGAAGTTGTTCGTGAGGTGACTTTTAACCAGTCTTTCGTTGGCATTTGCTTGCTTGCTTGTTTGTTCTTGGCCTTGGCTTTTTGAGACAGCATCTTTCTATATAGTTCAGACTGGCTTTGATCTCACTCAGTACCGTAAGCTGGCCTCAAACTCCTGGTGATCCTCCTGCCTCAGCCTCCCAAATGCTGAGATTATGGATGTACATCTCCTTGCCCAGTGTTTTCTGATAGAATCCAGAGTACTACTTAAAATGTTGGGTGTTAGATTTGAGGAGAGGAAGTATACCTCATAACTGTCCTTTTCTGTTTGTGTTAGCCTGATGAAGATTTGTTCAACCCAGACTACGTAGAAGTCGATCGCATCTTAGAAGTGGCCCACACTAAGGATGCAGAAACAGGGGAGGTGGGTGTGTTGCCATTTGCCTCTTAAATCACTGTCCTTTTTACTAGGTGTTTTGCTTGTTTGGTTAAGGTGTGGTGTGTAATGATACATTTTGTCACAACGGGTAGGTTCAGGGGTTGGCACAGTATGATTGACACCTTTAAACCAGTAGAAAGAAACTAAGTTTCTCTTCTGTTTCCCACTAGGAAGTAACACACTACCTGGTGAAGTGGTGTTCCCTGCCATATGAAGAAAGCACGTGGGAGCTAGAGGAAGATGTGGATCCTGCAAAAGTTAAGGAATTTGAGTCTCTGCAGGTTCTGCCTGAAATTAAGCATGTGGTAATGTATCTAGATCTCTGTCTGATGCCCCTGTAACATGTAATTTTGTGAGCCTGGTTATGCTGCCCGTGTGGCTATACTACTATGTAGTTTCTGTGGTGTCGTTATCATTCTTCACATTGAGCCTGCAGTTCAGAGTGTTTTTTCTTTGCAAACCACACCTTCCCTGCACCTTGGTCATCTTCAGGTCTGGACTCCATTTGAACATGTGCAGCATTTAAGAAGTGAAAATGTGTGCTTAGGTTTCTTAATGTGGGGGCTGTCATGCAGAGTCAGTAGATGGTGTGTAAGGAATGCTAGGGTGCAGAAGAAGCTTGGTTGATAGTGTCTTTCCTGCTTTCTTACCTGTTGCTCCATCAATGATCTGTGTTCTTTTTTAAGTAGTATAGGTGAAGAAAATGTAATAATAAAACAGTACTTGATTATTACGTAAGAAATGTAGAAGAATGAAAGGTAAATAAGAGATTGGACAGGTGACAGAAGGCGTAGAAAAGTGATAGCTATCAACTCCAGTATAGCAGTAATTAAACAAATGTAAATACCTCAAATAAATACAAAGATTTTCAAAGTAAATGTAAAAAAAAGATAAATACTGCAATGAGGATACAGAGTAAAAGATAAAAAGACACATACCATATGAACGCTATGCAAAAGAAATCTAATGTTATTGTATCATGCAAAATAGACAAGAGAAAAATACGGACAGATAGTAGGAAATGGGGAGGTAGATCTTTTGCAAATGAGAACCAAGAGATGGCAAGAGGGGGAAGGAAGGGGACATAAAAAGAATTAAGATATATTATGTGCATGTAGCCATCATGAATGCAGTCAGTATGCACTAAAAACATGTATTAATGAAAAAATTCTTTAAAGCAGAAGTACTAGTAGCAATAGGATGTTTCACAGTTAGAAATTTCACTTAGAAATTTCTAATAATCCTGAATTTGTAAGTATCCTTTAATGTTGCTTCACAGTATGAAGCAAAACATGACAAATAAAAAAAGATAAATCCATAGTTTTAATTCAATGAGTAATTGATAGAAAAACTCCTATAAACATCAATAAAGAAAAAATATAATTAGCACAGTTAACAAAAATTACCTAATAAACATAAACACACCACCACACACATACAAAAAATTTTTTTCTATAATACAGTCTTTCTTTTTATCCTTTTTATGCAACTAGAAGATTCTTAAGGAGAGGAACTGCCCTTTATCTGTAGATCACGGGGACCACACTAGAAGAGCATAGATAACATGATAACATAAGTTTATAAAAGCAGTTTTCCAATTCTGGATTATTAGGGAGTATCAACAACTAAAAGGAGTAAGAGTTGAGATCCAAAATGTATAAACATGTAGGTAACTTGGAAAGAGAACATTGTTAAAGAATATGGCTATAAGCTAGAATGATGAGTTTGTGTTTTAAAAAGTCATACTTTCATATGAAAATCTGTTACCTGGTTCCTTACTGCTATTATTTGTTGCTTTTATATCACTGGGAAGTTAGTACTCAGAAAACTAAGCCTCAACATTGAATTTGGATCACTGCCAGAGTCCATTCAAAAACAGTGTTTTGTTTCTGGGTTTTTTTATGTTTGTTTGTTTGTTTTGTTTTGTTTTTTTGGCGTATGAAGAGTGTATGGAAGTATCCTGAGATGCCGAATTGTGATTGAAACCTTACACAGATTACAGTATGTTGTCTTGGTCACACTGATCATTTAATTCCTCTTTTAACCTTTTCCTGTGTTACCTGTTCTTAATGGTTCTACCTGTTCTTAATTCAGTTTATCAGTCCTATACTAGGCATCTGTTAAGGTTGAGTTTTATATGCATTATAATAAGAAACACAGTACAGGCCCTGTCCCAGGGAGCTCAGTCAAATAGAAGCAACGTGTACATGGACAGGTACAGTGAAAGACTGATGATGACATGTGGCATAATGCAGGAACAATTAAGTGTGAGAGCATAAAGGAAAGAGAATTCCGTTCTGAAACTAACTTAATTGATCATCTGAAAGTAATCAGCCTTCTTACTCATTGTCTCAGCCCGACTCCCACTTGTTCCTCAGTCTGACTGTGCATTTGGCAGGAAATGAATTCTCAGATGTTTTCAGGTGATTTCACATTTCCTTTACTTCTTTGCAGTTGTGATACTGTTGTCCTCCCAGCCCTCTGAGTCACAGAGTCTTTTCATATTTGTCTTATTTTCTAATTTTATGTTCTTATTGAAAATGTCTATTTTGAAATTTTATCTCAAAAATTCTGTGAAATAGTAGCTAAAAATATAATTAAGGCTGTCTTTCTTATATGTTAAGAAAGAGACTGATAAATAGTACTTTACCTGAATAAGTTTAAGGATCTTATTCTGCATGTTGAAGTTCAGGATGATCTTATCAATCTAGAGGAATAGGACATTGATTGTTTAAAATCACTGAAAGAGAGAAACCTGGAGCAGTAACTGAATCAGAGAGCAGTGCCTCTGTGTTACCACCCTTCCAAGGCAGTGAATAGAAATCTGCAGTGAAATCACTCTATTGTGTGATGTCTGCAGTGCAGCAAATTGGGAGCTTGAGTCCCTAGAGGCAAGGATGCTTCCAGAAGTCTCTTTATCATGTCTAGTACGGTATGGAAGAATGCCCAGTAGGCTGGGTACTCGGGGCTTTAGAGATACGGGCTGAATGGTTTCTGTAAGCTAATAAGCACAAAGTAATTTCTTTGCAGGACCAGAACAGAACTTATATAGGAATATCTTTGCTCAAAAAGTACATCATATTTCTTTTTCTTTTCCTTTTTTTTAATGGTACTTTTTTTTTTAATGGAACCCAGGAACACTTTACCACTGAGCCATACCCCTTACTCTTTTAAAAAAATTTCCCATAAGGAATGTAAGCATTATATACTAATATATATACTAATAAACTAAAACTTTTTAATTTTTTTACAAAAATTTTGAGACAAATTCTTAGCCTTCTGCATTAGCCTTCCAAGTAATTGGGATTACAGCATAATGCAGGCTTTTCTCTTTTATTTCTATAATAATATTTAGCAGTGTTCATTTCAAGGTATTGTGTAGTTTAACCACAGCTAAAGCAGTTTTGAAGGTAAGCTGTAATAAGAATTTTCTGAAAGACTGTAGATAGCTTATACTCATCACCAAACATAAGTGATGTAATTGAGGATTTTTTAAAAATCCCATCCTATGCAAAAGGATTAGCTTTAATTACTAGTTTATTTCATGTGTAAACCTTACTGTAGTAGGGTAAAGTAAAAATAGATTATAATTGTTAGAGAGCTATAATCTCAATATTCTCATTTATAACCATGGCATAGTTAAGAATTTTAATTTTTAAGATCCTAAGTGTCAGAGAATCAATTGGTTTAAAAACAAAACAGCCATGTCTGTTTATAAAAAATAAATTTTAAAAGTTTAATACAAAACCTTTAATGGAAAAGCTCAACTCAAAGACTGAAAATTTCCCCAAATTAATAAATTCATTGTAATTCTATTTGAAATTCCAGTGAGAGTTTAAGAAAATTTGACGAATTGATTCTAAAGTTATAAAGAACAGCTGGGCATGGTGGCACATACCTGTAATCCCAGCATTCAGGAGACTTAGGCAGGAAGATCACTGTGAGTTTGAAACAAGCCTGGGCTACATAAAGTGCGTTCAAGGCCAGTTTCCACTACTCAGCACAACCCTGTCTCAAAAATATCAGAGTTGTACAGAACAATAAATAAGATAGAAAAAACATTTTTGAAAAATAATTCCCCATCAGATTATAGCTATAGTAATTGAAGAATGTGGCTTGATTGCAGACAGACAAGGCATTAGAAAAGAACAAAAAATCCCTATACAATTCTATTGAAATACATTGTGCTCAGATCAACATAGGAAAATTTCTTACCATTTTTAGGAGCTGGTGTTTCATATAAAAAAGTAAAGTAGTAAGGCTGCCTCTGCATGGCTTAAGAAAAGTTTATGGAATTTGTAGTTTTTAATGTAAATATTGTGCATACTTCTAACTTTAGAAACTAACCAAGACAGTATTTGACCCACTGTGCTTTCCTGAGCATGTATTATAGGCACAAAGAAGTAACAAAAAGAAATTCTGTTTATAAAAATTTAACAACTTGCCTAATAGTAGTTTCTGTGGGAAATTAAATGTGAGAATGGCATCTAAGAATCTAAGTAAAATAGCATGACACACCAAGATTTTAGGTAGGTTTTTTCTTCTTAATTATATACAGTTTTAAGCTAGCAAAGTCTATAGGGCCTGAACACTATTTATAAAATAATAACTTCAGTTTGAAATTAGCCTTAGGATAATGTTTGAGATATACACCTAGCTGATAATTGTGTATTACACTGTTAACACCCTTCTCCATATAGTGTGCTTCTTGCTTCCTCCCCAGGAGCGGCCTGCTTCAGACTCCTGGCAGAAACTTGAAAAGTCCCGCGAGTATAAGAACAGTAACCAGCTCCGAGAGTACCAGTTGGAGGGAATGAACTGGCTTCTTTTTAATTGGTATAACAGGTGAGGGACCAGAAACAGGTCAGATGTTTATACTTGTAGGTATATAATGTTGCCTGGTAAAAAAAAATCTAACCAAAAAGGTTAAGCTCACCCTAGGTGATCCAGTAATGCTATTTTCTGTTTCTAAGTTTTATTCCCACCGCATTTCTCCATCTAAAAGATAATGGATTTGGATTCTTAGGCTCCACTCTACTCATATTCGAACCATGGATATACTGGACTCATACTATATAGCACTTAATCTTGAACTCTTGGTGTCTGGTTTTTTCAAAAGCTAGCTGAACCAGATGAAATTTGAGAGGACAACCTGAGATTTTCTCAACATTTTAAGTTATACACTTAGCAGTGACTTTAATACTGTCTTTGTAATGCACTTAGATGGGCTTCTGGGTGCCTTTGTTCTAGCACAGTTACTACCACCTACAGAGCATAATTCACTCAGCTAGACCAGGTCTTATATTGTCCATCTGAACAGACAGGGAGTGAAACTAGACGGTGTTCACAGCTTTTCTAGGGCCATAGCCCTGGTGTGCCATCTGTGATTCTGGACCACCAGAAGAGATCAGCTTTTTTACTGTGATGAGGGATTTATTATATTGGTTAAGATCTTGTCCTTTTATAACATACACATAATAGCTGATGAGAATCATGTGACTGTCTTTTTATTCTTACCTTGGCTTTTTTAGTGGGAAGGGTGGCTTTATTGATACACTTTAGAAATATATAACAATTACATTCATCATCGGGAATTTGTGAACATACATGATTTTTCTTGCTTCTTTTTTCTATCTCCCTTCTCTTTCTTCAACCCTTCTTCCATTTATTTGTGAAAACTTTGTTTCCTTTTTGTTTTAATCGGTACCGGAGATTGAACTCATGGCTGCCTGCTTGCAAGGCAGGCGTTTATGCCACTGAGCTAAATCTCCAGCCCCTGTTTCCTTTTTTTACCTTTGATTTTCTTTAGTTTCTTATCCCTCTCTTTCTTTCCCCCCTCCCCGTCCTTGTTCCCCTTCCGATTTGAACATTTTCTTCCAGTTTCCCAATATCTATTATATAGTTTGGTTCTTATTTATACTTTGAGTTTCTCTCGCTAGAGAAACAATTCAGGACTTAAACATGTGTCAGATTTATTTCACGTAAGAGTATGGTCTCAAGGTGCACCCGTTTAGCTAGCAATGTCTCAAGCTTGTCCTTCTTTATGGCAGAGCAATACTCTGTGGTATAAAAAAAGAAAAGCACATCTTCTTTATGCATTCATTGGTTGACAGGCATTTGGGCTGTTTCCAAGATTTAGCTGTTACAAATTGTGCTGCTATAAACATGAGTATGTATGTGTCGCTGTGATACGATGCTTTTGCAAAGTTACCAAGAACCAAAAAGCAAATAGCTGGGTCAAATAGAAACTCTAGTTTTAGTTTTTTTTGAGGAATCTCCATGTTGATTGCCACAGTGATTACACCAGTGTTTCTACCAGCAGTTGAAAAAGGTTCTTTTTTCCCACAAACCCATCAACGCTTGTTATTGGTTGATCTCTGTTTCTCGTTGTCTGTTATTGTTTTTGTTTTTGTTTAGTTTAGGGTTTTTTAAACTTTCTTTTGTTTTTATGTATTTTTTTATTTTTTATTTAATTTTTTTGTACCGGGGGTCAAACTCACGACCTTGTGCTTAGCAGATGAGTGCTTAAACCACTGAGCTAAATCCTCAGCCCTTTTTTATGATTTCTTGATAATAACTATTCTGTTTGGAGTGAGACAGAATCTCAGCATTGTTTTAATTTGCATCTCTCGAATGACAAATGATGTTAAGTATTTTTTTATACATGTGTATACCTAAGGGTTTTCTATTCTTTTCAGATGCCCATTTTTGGATTGGGTCTTCAAATTTGGGAGATTATGATTTTTTTTTGAGTTCTTTACATATTCTGGATATGATATTGTACTTTGTTGGAGGAACAGCTGCCAAATTTTTTTCCCTACAGTGTGGGTTGTCTCTTCATCCTGTTGGTGTGCAACATTTCTTGCTGTGCAAAACATTAATATAACCAGATCCCAGCTGTCCATTGCTTGTGATGGTTCCTGTGTAGTTGGGGTTTGTTCATGAAGTCATCATCAGTACCAGTGAATTCAAGAGTTCTACCTTTCTATCTTCCAGCAGATTCAATGTTTCTATTTTAATATTTAGATCTTTGATCTATTTTAATTTTAGTTTAAGTTGCATGGTGAAAGATATGGGTCTAGTTTTAACCTTTGGCATGTGGAAAGTCAGGTTTTTAAGCACCATTTCTTTTTTTTTTTTTTAAGCACCATTTCTTAAAGAGCCTATCTTTTTTCCCTTTAAGGTGTTTGGCTGCTTTGTCAAAGGTAAAGTGACTGAGTATGTGTCTAGTTCTTTCTGCGTCTTCTAATCTGTTCTATTGGTCCTTGGATCTGTTTTTTAGTTTTTTGGTTGTTGTTTTTGCCATCTTGTTTTTATCACAGTTGCATTATACTATAATTTTAAGTCAGGCATTACAATGCCCCCTGCCTTTCCTTTGTTGTCTAGAATTGCCTTTGCTATTCTCAGGCTCTTCTGATTCCAAGTGAATTTCAGGGATGTTTCCTCTAATTCTATCAGATATGGTATTAGAATTTTGATCAGAATTGCATTAAATCTGTATAACAGATAAATCTGTATAAATCTGTACTCTTTGGGAGTAGTGCTGTTTTCACTATATTGGTTCTTCCTTCTCAAGATAAGGAATATCTTTCCATTTCCTGATATCCTCTTCAGTCTCCTTTTTTAGAGTACTGTGGTAATGTAGAGGTTTTATACTTCCTTCATTAGACTGATTCGTAGGTGTTCCATTTTTTGGATGCTATTGTGGAGTTTTTTGGAGCCTTCTATGTAGAGTATCATGTCATTTACAAATAATGATAGGGGCTGGGGTTTTAGCTCAGCGGCATAAGCACCTGTCTTGCAAGCGCACTGTTGTGAGTTCGATCCCCAGTACCAATTGGGGGGGGGCATAAAAATAATGATAATTAAACTTCTTTCTTTCTTATCCTTATTCCTTTTATTTCTGCCTCTTGCCTAATTGCTCTGGCTAATGTTTCCAGAACTATATTGAGTAAGAGTGATAAACAGTGGACATTCTTGTCTCATTTCCAGATTTTAGAGTGAAAATCTTCAGTTTTTATCCATGTAGTATGATGTCAGCTGTTAGTTTGTCATATGTGGCTTTTGTCAGATTAAGATAAAAATCAGTTTTCTATAACATATATTCCAGTTACATATTTTATCATGAATGGATGTTGGATTTGTTAAATGTTTTTTCTGCATCTAACAAGATGATCATGTGGTTTTTGTACTTGCTTTGTTAATGTATATTACATTTATTAATTTGCATGTGTTGAACCATCTCTGCATCTGTGGTCATGGTGTCTAATCTTGACGATTTGCTGCATTGTGTTTGTTAGTATCTTAATTGAGGATTTTTGCATCTTTGTTCATTAGGGAGCTGGCCTGTAGTTCAATTCTTTGGTTACATCTTTCTCTGGATTAGTTTTCAGGATAATGCTTGCTTCCAGGAATGAATTTGGGAGGATTGCTTCCCTTTCAGTTTCATTGAAGAGTTTGAGAAGTAGCAGCATTCAATCTCTAAATTTTTTGTAGAATTCAAAAGTAATCCATCAGGGCCTGGGCTTTTCTTTGTTAATAGATTTTAATTACATGTTCAATTTCATTGACTAATGTTAGTTTATTTAGAATTTTTAGATCTTTTTGATTCAACTTTGGTAATTCATATCTATCCATTTTTTCTGGGTTTTCCATCTTATTAGAATACAGATTCTTAAAGTAGATACTGATAATCTGGATCTGGATTTCTGCAGAGTCTGTTATGATTTCACCCTCTAAATTCCTTTTTTTTTTTTTTTTTTTTGTCTTTTTTTCGTTTTTGTCGGTACCAGGGATCGAACTCACAACTGCCTGCTTGCAAGGCAGGTGCTTATGTCGCTGAGCTAAATCCCCAGCCCCTGCCCTTTTCATTCCTACTGGCATGAATTTGAGTCTTTTCTTTCTTGTTTTTGATAAGGTTGATTAAGGATTTGTCAATTTTAATGTTTCAGAGAACCAACTTTTTAATCATTGATTCTTTGTATTGTTTTATTTGTCCTAATTGCATTAATTCATACTCTGATCTTTATAATTTCCTCCATCATATGTACTTTGAGTTTAACTTGCTTTTTTTCCTTAGAAGCTTGAGGTTCAACATTAACTTGCTTATTTGAGTTCTCTGTCTTTCTCTGATACAGGAATTCACTGCCATAAATATCTCTCATAAGAAATTATTTCATTTTGTACCATAAGTCCTTGTGTGTTATGTTTGCATTATCATTTAATATTAGAAACAGTCTAATTTCTTTAATTTCATCTGTGTCCTATTCATTGTTCAGGAGGATGTTATTTAAATTCCATACATTTATGAAGCTTTTGTGGTTTCTTTTGCCATTATTTCCAGTTTCATTGCACTATGTTCTGATAATATGCTTGGGATAATTTCTGTTGCTTTGCATTTATTTAAGAATATTCTTTGTTCTTTTATGTATTCTATTTTAGAGAACATCCTGTGTGTCACTGAGAGAAATGTGTACTCTGATGTGAGGTGGAACACTCTGTAGACATCTACTAAATCCATTTGTTTAAAAGTTTGGTTCAGTGCTGATATTTCTTTGTCAAATTGATCTGTCAATTTGTAATAATGGGGTATTGAAGTCCCCCATTATAATTGTGTTAGTACTTATTTGATTTTTAATGTCCATTAATACTTGTTTTATATAGTTGGGTACATTGGTATTTGGTACATGTGTATTTATGATTATTCTCTCTTCCTCTTGGATTGTTTGCTCTACAAGGATACGGTGACCTTCTTTCTTTGTCTTACTCTTGGTTTGAAGTGTACTTTGTCTATAAATGTAATAGCTTCCTATAGTATGGAGTACTTTTTCCATCCTTTGACATCAGTCTGTGAACAACTTTTTCAGTTAAATGTGTTTCTTGTGTGTAGCATATTGTTGGATCTTGCTTCTTGATCCATTCTGCCAATCTATTTCTTTTGATCGAGACCATTTACTTTGATGGTTATAATTGATATATTAACTTTGCATTTTCATATTATTTTCCTTTTTTAACCACCATCTCCCCGGTTTAATTACTTGCCTTGCCTGGTGGATTCATTCTGTTTAGTTATCTCCCTCTTTGTTTTGTTTTTGGGACTGAGGATCAGACTCACAACCTCACGCTTGGCAGGCAGGTGCTTAAGCTGCTGAGATAAACTTCCAGCCCTAGTCCTCATTATCTCTTTCTAGAATGTCCTTCATAACTTTCTGGAGTGCTGGTTTAGTGGTCATGAATTTCCTTAGGTCCTCCTTGTCATAGAAGCATTTTATTTCTCCATCAGTTCTGAATTTCTCCATCAGTTCTGAAAGATAGTTTTGCAGGATACATCAGTCTAACTGGAGGTTGTTTTATTCTAGGGGTTGGGGCTCATATTGAGCATTCTGCTATGATTTTGATGGACTTTCCTTCATAGATGATTTATTTCTTTTCACTAACATCTTTAAATATTTTGTTCTGTTGAATTTTTGAAATCTTGATTATTCTGTATCTGGGTGTAGCTTTTTAATTTGATCATGGTTAATTTGAATTTGTAATACCTTCCCAGTATGTCAAATTCTTTTTCTATTTTAGGAAGTTTTCTGCCATTACTTCTGTGAACTTTTTTTTATTTCATTTTCACTATCTTCTTTTTCATTGACTCTAATCAATCCATTTTGTTCTTCTTTGCATCATGTAGTAGCTGTTAGATTAAATTACATGGTCCCTTGCTATTTTTAAGGAATCTTTCTTTTCCTGATCCTAACTGTAATTCTGTCTTCTATATCTGATACTGTGTCCTCACATTGGTTCATTCTATTATGTATACTTCCCATAGCATTTTTAATCTCCTGGATATCTGTTAGAATCTGTTTCCTAGATTCCATTTTTTTCCGATATTAGGAGTTTATGGTTTTTATCATTTTCCTGAGTTCTATTTTTTATCTCTGTCTGCCATGGAATCACTAATGATGTCTTTAATTATGGTTACCATCTCTGTAGTTTTCTGAGAAATTATTTCTGATTTGATTTTTTTTCTGGAGCTTCACTCATCTACTTTGTTACTTCTGCTATTATCTTTTCACAGAGTATAACTGGGTAGCTTTTGAATCATTATACCTCATTGCACTTCAGTTTGCCTTTGGTGAACTGATAATTTGAGGTTGCATGTTGCTTCTGTGTCTTGTTTTCTGTTTTTTTCCACTTTTTGGTTTAAATTCTGAGTTGACACTTGTAAATTGCGTATAGTAGGCAACTTTATTGGTAGTATTGAGAAACCTTAGGAAATGACTACTTCTCAGAGATGTCTTTCAGGTATAACTGGTCTTGGAGTTTGAAACTATTGCAAAATCCTACTTCTTCAGTTTATTGAGGATGAGAAGTTACTGCCTATTTGATCTAGCCCCTGGTTCTTTAGCACTGGCCTATAGTATTGTTTATGACCTTCAGGCAATCTCAGTCTTCGCATACCACGAAAGACAGTTTATTAGAACAATAATGTCACCTTAGCTAACATTATACCATCAATAATAACAGTAGCACCAAACATAGTCTAGAAAATGACAGACTATGATAATTCTTAATTTGCCATCTTTTACCATAATGAACTATATTTGTGATTATATAACAGAATCTAAAACAAACCAAGGAATTGTATACAATGAATATGCCTTCACTATGTCAATTTTACCCTCAAGTGATAAAATTTTAAAGGAGTTAGGGGAAAAAAATAAAGAACAGGAAAAGAAATAGATTACATGACAGAGGACAAAGGAAGGTTGTGCAAACTGGGAATTTGGTTAAGACAAGGAGAAGAGAGAAGGATGAAAACAAAAAGAACAGAAAAGCAATAATAATCTAGAGACAGTATTCATAGTCATAAAAACCAAAAAAAAAAGAAAAACACCATATATGCAAAAAAAAAAAAAAAAAAAAAGTCTCCCTTTAGAGCATATCTCTGAGGCAGACACGGTGGTACACACCTGGAATCCCAGCCCTCAGGAAGCTGAGGTAAGAAGATCACTGTGAGTTCAAGGCCAGCCTGAACCACATAGTAAGACCCTGTCTCAAAAAAAGAAAAAACCAAAAAGAGTTTGTCTCTGCTGTTACTTGTGGACAACAGACCCCGACCTGTGTTAATTCCAGCAATCCAGTTGCAGATTTACAGTAGGGTAGTAGTTAATTCCAGCCAAACTTCACCTTTAGTTCCACTGAAGTTCAGACTGTTTTCTGGTTGGAAGATTAGAACCAGATTTGTTCATCCTGCAGCACTTTGCATGCCTCCTACCATCTGGAACTTGACTCCTGGACCCCCTGCAATTGATTCTGCCTCACCCTGACACTGGAGGCTGCTAGACAGGACCAATCAACAGCTGGTCTGAGTTTTGAGCAAAGTTGGTCCCTGTCCAAGATGGCAAGCCACCCAGTGATCCTTTGTTCATGGAAATCTGGACCAGAATAACTCACCAGCCTCTGCAGTCCCCTGCACCCACTGCTTTATTTCATTTATGTGTTTCTCTGTGGAGGTCTCTGGGATTACTAGTAGACACCATGCATCTGGAGGTTCGAGCAGCCCATCCAATGCAGCAAGTCAGGTCTCGGGGAGAATGCGCCTCTTGCCTCTCCTTCTTCTGCACTGATGTCTCTCTCTTCACTTTCCCTATGGGCTTCAGTTCTCACTTCAGATCCTTGCTGGGTCCAAGGGCTAACTGGCTTCCTTCTCTTCCTCCTGTTGCTATATTCCAGCATGTGAACACCAAATCTTGGAGAGGCTGTTTGTATGCTCTTCACCACACTGCCATCTTCCTGAAAGTCTTTATCTTGACTTCTAAGAAGTTTCTCAATTATGAAAACTGGCAGGGGCTGGGGATTTAGCTCAGCGGCGTAAGCGCCTGCCTTGCAAGCAGGCAGTCGTGAGTTCGATCCCTGGTACCGATAAAAAGGAAAAAGACAAAAAAAAAAAGTTAAAAAAAAAAAAAAAAGAAAAAGAAAACTGGCTCATTTTGGAGGTGTTTACTTTCTGTTTGTCTTAATGTTATTTTACTTTCTAGTATTTTTAGTTTTTATCTTAATAGACTTACATATATAGTCTCCCACATTCTATTTTGGTAGTTTCTCTTTGGAAGTAGGCACTATATAAGTAATAAAAAAAAACAGCCTCAGTTTTCTCTGTAAAATAATGATAAACCTTTCATTGGTGCCCTTATGATCACAGTATACTTCTGAAGCACTTTTTTATCCATAGCTAACTTTTATAACTTTCCTAGATTTGATCGTGAATTACCTATATTTTTCTCCCTCTGCAGGAAAAACTGTATTTTGGCTGATGAGATGGGCCTAGGGAAAACCATTCAGTCCATCACATTCCTTTCAGAAATATTCCTCAGGGGGATCCATGGTCCTTTTCTCATCATTGCACCTCTCTCTACTATCACCAACTGGGAGAGGGAGTTCCGGACATGGACAGAGATGAATGCCATTGTGTACCACGGCAGCCAGATCAGCAGGCAAATGATCCAGCAGTATGAGATGGTGTACAGGGATGCACAGGTAAGCCTCACATCTGTCACAAAGATTCAGAAAGTGCCTGAGTTAAGAGAGGCTTGGTACTACTTATATTCAGGAGTTTCAGAGCCCTGGGTTATTATTGACTGACCTTGTGGAATCATGTTTGTTGAGAATGACTTCTTGCTTTCCCCTCTTGGTTTATCTTAATTTATGATTTATGAGATATACCAGAGATCTTCGTTAAGGACGCTAAAAGCTTAACTTATTTGTTAACCTTTTGAAGTTGCTTTTTTATACAAAAGATTTTACCTGAATTGTTATCTGATCAGTGAAGGAAATGAGAAGTGTTAGTGTACAGTGAGTAGGTTCCCATTCAGAGAGTTTGAAAAGGAGAGAAACAGATTAGAGAGAGGAAAATAAAGAAAAAACAGATTTCATATTAAAAGTACAAGAGAACTTTTAAGTTTTCAGTACATATCATCACTTTGCTGAATATGATTATGCACTTGTCCTGGACCAATAAGAATTAAATTGTCCCAATCAGAGGAAAGCTTGTATGCTTTCTCCAGGGGTTTCATGAGTAGCAGGAGACACTTAGAAGGCGTTGTGTTCTAACATCATATAGCTCTGCTCTTCAAATGTGATGGCAGCACTAAGACTAGTTAGGAAACTAAGGTATGTTCCCTCTACTAGCATCTGCCTGGGATGACTTGGGATCATTACTTTGTATGCTAAAACCTGAGGTATAAGATTAAATGAAATGAAAGTTATTTTTTTACAAAAAGATGAAATTAAATTGGAAAAACAGCAGCAAGTTCCTTGGGTATTCAATCCATGGATGATTTAGACCAACTCCTCATGGGGGATGATATCTGTGTCAGCCCCTTCAACTTTGCTTATGATGGCAATTAATAAATAAAAGGAGACCTGAGGATTGGAGGATTAAGATGTAATATGTATATGCACTCATACCCCACAAAGAATATATTCATTTTGTATCACAAACAATATACTAATAAAGAAGAAGTGGAAACAAAAAGTTCCCTGGCTGTACCTTTGGCCCCACCCCAACCCTTTTTTGTTGGTACAGGGTCTTGCTAATTCACTGGTTTGCCCCTCTGGGCACAAACATGCATTCTTCCTGTTTCATCTTCTCAAGAGTGCTGGTACTGTAGGCCTATACCACCAGGCTACTTGCTCTCTCATTTCTGCTTTGTTGATGCTGTTAGGTCTGTCTTTTCTAAATACTGTAGCTGATCATGCTTATATTCCTGCTTTCTCAAATTATATGTCCTACTTTCTGTAATCTGGCAAGTAATCTATTAATCATGATATAAATCTGTGCCTTTGATTGTGTCGTCCTCAGGGAAATCCTCTTTCAGGAGTCTTCAAGTTCCATGTTGTCATCACAACATTTGAGATGATCCTGGCAGATTGCCCAGAGTTGAAGAAGATTCACTGGAGCTGTGTGATAATTGATGAGGCCCACAGATTGAAGAATAGGAATTGTAAACTTCTAGAAGGGTTAAAGCTTATGGCCTTGGTGAGAGCCAGGTTTCTACATAAATAAGTGCAGCTAACTTTTATTCAGGGAATTGTTCCTTTGCCATTCTGCATGTTACTTACTTATGTTTAGTCCTTTTGGCCTCCTGTTCTCAAAAGAAGTTGGGGAGCTCTTACATACATGGAATTTGTGACCTGAAAACTTAGTGTTTTGTTTTATTTCTGGGTATTGACTTGAAACAATGTCCAGTATGTGGTCATTAGCCAGACAACAATTTTGAGTGAATGAGTAGATGGTAAAATTCTACTAGTATAATCAGTGATGCAAAAGTTAATCTGTTTAATGACTACACACATATAAGTATTGGGACTCTGCCTTTTCATTAAAGCAGAATAGAATTGTTCCAAATTGAGCATAGAATGCCTGCACTTAGTTTTCCCCACTAAAATGTAGTTTTGGTGGTTCAAACACTGTTCGTCATTTGCGTTTAATTTATGCAGGAACATAAAGTGCTACTCACTGGGACACCCTTACAAAACTCTGTGGAAGAGCTCTTCAGTTTGCTAAATTTTTTGGAGCCAACACAATTTCCTTCAGAGATTGCATTCTTGGAGGAGTTTGGAGATCTGAAAACAGAGGAGCAGGTAATTAGGAGCATGAAGGATTGAAGAGTATGTGAGGGTCACTTTCATAACCAGGAAAAATCAAGCAGTTCATTATTATGGGGACAGGATTTAGCAAGTTCTCACATCTCTACTAAAATGAGCATTGCCTTCTTCATTTGTTTATTTGTTTATGTTGCAGAAGGCCACTTGATTGTTAGCAATTAGTCAGCATCGGAAATATCTTAAATTAGCATATAAAGTTTCCTGCTTCACTGAGCTCCCCTGTGTATTAGTGATTTCGCTTGTAACTCTGGCCTCAAGAACATGGTGCTTTCTTTTGCTTCCTTCATCCTTCATCCTTCATCCTACATAATCTGCTACATGTTCCCAGCCCATCTTCTTAATTATAACACAATATACGGGTAGTAAGAAAAACCAGGCAATCAAACAATTAAATTGTTAATTCCATTTTGTCCAGATGAACTGAATTTCCTCAGTTTTTAAGGTCTAGTTATATCTGATTTTGTGAACTTAAAGCCAATTCAAAACTACCAGTATTAATAAATATCAACATACTAAGGGTAGAAATCTCTACTAGGGATTATGGAAAGAAGTCAGGGAAGTTTAAATGCCATACGAGGAACAAATAATAGAGTTGGGGACTTTAAAATAAGGAAAAGTCACATCTGTTTGAGGACCAGGGAAGACACCAGAGGGAGAGAATATAATTTACAAATGCGTTTCTGCAGGTAAAAAGAGCAGAGGTGGTGACTGCTTTGCACAGGAAAAAAAGCCCAGTGTAATCTGAGCTATAGAAGTTAGTGAGGAATCATCTGGTTGAGTTAAAAATAGGGTAGACGAACAGGGAAGTACGTAAAGCCAGTGGCGTTTACAATTATATTGCAAAAAGATTTTGAAAGTTAGGTTGAAGAATCAGTAGGTATTAACAGAGAAACAATGCAAGACTTTTATTGCTGGAGTGATATAATTAGTTCTGCTGAATTAATCTAGTAGTAGTGTAGAAATAGTTTGGAATAGAGAGAATTTGGGGACTGGGGAGGTTTGAGAATTTTACTAACAAGTATCAAGAATACTCTGTCATTCCAGTCTGTTTTCTTTCTACTTGTTGTACAAGTCAGACTTCGAGAAGCAGTGAATAATAAAATGTAATTCCCCTGCTCTGCATTTGCAATATCTCTTAACCCTTCAAAAGCCAGCCCCCAAACCTCTCTTCATTTTTGGACCATTGGAAATGCATCCTTTTCTCCCATTGCACTTAATTTTTGGTATGCATCTTTTCTTCTTCCTAGACAAAGATCTCCTTGAGGACAAGGCCCACATCTTCTCCAAAGTTGTGTTTGTTGTATTGACCAGCACAGTGTCTGGCATATAGTATACTCTAAATGATTCAAGGTATGAACCAAGTGAAGGGCAAAAGTTGAACCCAGCATGTGGCAGATTGACATTTGTCCCTATCTTTAACAATTAGCTAGCTGTGTTTTTGTCTTGGGCTCTTACATAGTAATTCCTTACCCACTAAGGGATTAAATTCCTAAATACTCTTGATTGGTAAATCAAGGTCTCATAAAAGTTAGTTAGAAATGGGGGTTAGAAGAAAACCATAAAAGTGACATCAAATGTCTTGTTTGCTTTTTTTAGTTTCTCAAAATATTAATATATTTTAACTGACAAAAATTACATATATTTATTGGGTACACTGTGATGTTTTGAAATATGTGGACACAGTAGAGTGGCTAAATAGTTAACATAGCATTACTTTGCCTACTTACTTTTGTGGTGGGAACACTCAAATTCACTGCCGGGTGATCTTCAGAAGCACAATACATGGAGCTAAGGATTTAGCTTACCAGCATAAGTGCCTGCCTGGCAAGTGTGAGGTCGTGAATTCGATCCTCAGTACCAAAAAAAAAAAAAAAAAAAAAGAAAGAAAGAAAGAAACACAATATATAACTATTGTCAACATATTACACAGTACATCTCTTGAATTTACTCCTTCTATCTAACTGAAATTTTATATTCTTTGGTAGCTAACCACCATTCTATTCTCTACTTCTATGAAATGTCTATATTTTAAAACACAGTAAATAAAAGTACTAGAAACCATCTGTTTCCAGAGTAAAGCGTATTTGTCCTTGTGTAAAGCCTACTCCAGTAAGTAACTCTCCTAAATCACCCTCAGTCATGTCACACTGCTTCGGGAAGCACTGTTGTAGTACTTTCTATCTGTCCCTTTTAAATTTTTGGAACAGCTTTTTCTGACTTGAAACTTGACTTTCATTTTCCCTTTATTTTCACATCAGAGTTAATCTTAACTAGTTTTTGCCCAAGGTTAACTGAGATACATTAACTTTGAGTCATTAACTTTACCTTTCATTGTCTTCCTGTGTGAGGGAACAAGATACCTTTCTAGTGCAGTGAAGTGAGTGGAAGTCTCTGTCCAGGACTGGCTTCATAGAATGAACAGATCATAGTAAGGAAATGTTATCAAGCTTGAAAGGCCCCTGATGTGACAGTTCTCATCATGGCATGCAAGATGTCACTCTACAACATTTTTTTCTTTATACACTGCTACTCCCAAGCACATATGCTGCTGCTGTGATTGAGCTCCATTTTCAGATTGCCTTTACTTCTTCCTCTGTTCTTTCAGGATCCAAGTCTTCCCTTTGTAATATATCATTTGTACCTCCTAACAAGTTCTTCAGTTAACTCTGTGCATGTGTATTTGTTAGAGAAAGAATTGAAGAGATTTGTTTTCTCCATCCTAGAGAATAAATAATGTCTTTTTCTTTCTCCGTTTTTGTCTTACAAGATTACCATGTAAGTTCTTGATAATTTGTGAATTCAAGCCAGATCCCTTTTTCCTATCCTGTATTTTTGTAAACTCCATTTTCAGGGATCAATCATGATCTTCCTTTTAATCTACTGTCATCCAAATTAGTAGCTCAAGATATAGTGAAGATTGGCATACCCCCATAATCATTCAATCAGGATGGAGGCAGGTAAATAGATATGGTTTCCCTAAACAGGTAAAGAAACTACAGTCTATCCTAAAACCAATGATGCTTCGACGCCTGAAAGATGATGTGGAAAAGAACCTTGCTCCCAAACAAGAGACCATCATTGAAGTAGAACTGACCAATATCCAGAAAAAGTACTACCGTGCTATCCTGGAGAAAAATTTTTCCTTTCTGACTAAGGGGGCAAATCAGCACAACATGCCCAATCTCATCAACACCATGATGGAGCTGAGAAAGTGCTGTAACCATCCCTACTTGATCAATGGTGAGTCAAGGTAGTAAGGAGTAACTCAGGGCTCTGTCAAAAGCTATGATAATCAAAGACTTCTATAAGTTTTCATTAAATGCTAGAACATGTATTTTCTTCACCTTTTTACATAGTGTAAAAATGAGGTTTAAAGAAGTTAGTGGATTTGCATATGTAATTTAGCTAATAAATACTGTACACAGAGCCAAGTTTGAAGCTTACTTCAAATTCTTTGCCTCTGCAGTTCTTACTCTGCCTGGCAAAAGGTGAATAGTACTATGCATTTTGCCACTGTTACTTCCAGTCTGACCCACACTTTCCATTTGCAGCCAGAGAAATATGTTATTTTGTTGAATAAATGAAAATGCTGCGGTGAGATTAAACTCTACAGCTGAATTAGCAGTTAAGCATAGTAGAGATGTTAGGAAAGCTTCTTTATAATGAAACTTGAGAAATTTTTAAATTAAAATGCGTCTTAGCTTCTTTTATAGCTGGTCTCATGGTAATAGAAAATAGGAAGGTCTTTGTTGTCAGCTTCCTGAGATTACTTGGATATATCGGTTTAGGATTCGTTATTTTAATCCTTAGCAAAGTACCTTCCTTCTCAACAAGGTGAAGTAGAAAACCCTGCCACAGTGAGCTCCCTACCAAGCAGTACCCTAGGAATACACACCCATTATCACTTCCCTGAACTGCAGGTACCAGACCTGAGAATTCATGCTCCCAGGATCTGCAAAACAGAGCTTTTATTCTTGTATTGTGTTAAACCAAGAGTTTTGCTCCATTCCTTTTCAGGGGCAGAGGAAAAAATTCTGGAAGATTTCAGAAAAACTCACAGCCCTGATGCTCCTGACTTTCAGCTGCAGGCCATGATTCAGGCAGCAGGGAAGCTGGTGCTGATTGATAAACTGCTTCCTAAGCTGATTGCAGGTGGCCACAAAGTGCTCATCTTCTCCCAGATGGTGCGCTGCCTTGATATCCTCGAAGATTATCTCATCCAGAGAAGGTGAGTCTTACATCAAATCTTTGCACCCAGCGCTGCCAGTGCCTTTTCTTCATTATCCTTTTCATACATCCATGTTATGCTTTAACAACAACAAAACATTAAAAAATGGAGAAAAAGAATGTCTTCAAGATCAATAAAAATTTAGAATTGATTTTATGACTGAGTATACTAAAGTTTAACTGTCTGGAGTGAATTTCATAGCCAGTAATGTGGAGTCCTTGTTTTGCTTAAATTGCAGTGTTTGTTTATATTCACTTCAGTTGTGAAGAACAAAATCGTAATAGCATTAGAAAATACTAAGAAAATAATGTAGTTACATTTTTGTTGCTTAATAAGAATAATGAAAGAAACACATTTACAGTTGCCACTAATACAAATTTTTGAAAGCACATAAGCTGGTATTTCAGAAAAAATTTTCTGTCCTTTCTCAGCAAATTCTTAAGGTTTTATGATACACTGCCTGTGACATCCTGGTTTATTTTCTAGTTTATGTAATTCCTTGGACATGAATTGTATTACTCATGCAAATGAAAAGTGTACAGGTGTGGGTTATTTGGATGCTGTGTGGGAACTACATTTGTTATACATCATACTTTAGGTTTTAAGTTACTGCCATCAATGAACAGTAAGACAAAAGATTTTTCAAGATCATAGAAACTAATACCCTAGGCATTGCTAAGTTTAAGGAAAAATCTTTGGTGGGTTTTTGTTTTGTTTTGTTTTCTCTTTTTGAAACAAGGTCTCACTATACAGTTCAGGCTGGCCTTGAACTCACTTTGTAGCCTAGGCTGATCTCAAATTTGCAGCAGTCCTCTTGCCTCAGCCTCCCGAGTGCTGGGATTACAGGTGTGCACCAGCACTCCCGGTGAAAGTCTTTGTTTTCAAGTAGTAACATTACAGTGACTCTCAAGCTTGTTAACAGATTTTCTTACCCTTTTGTTTCCCCTTATAAATTAACATGTACTTTTTCTGTAAAGGAAATGACAAATTTAACTGTGTGTGCCAGTACTTCACATTACATGAATAATTCTTCCAAGTCTGATGAGACTACAGAAGGGTTTTTCAGAGCTGTGTGGTAGAGATGTGCATGTAGAGGATGATTGAGACCTGTGATTTTTTTGGAGGAAGCTACTATGAGTAAATCAAAACTGGCAGGGCAGTCTTATAGCTTGTAAATTCACTATACAGTAAAAATTGATGGTCAGAGTACTTTCTTGTTATTAATATTGGAACCTTCAAAATTTAAAGAACAAGTAATTTGCAAAAAATTTTTTAAAATAAGCCCTTCAAATTGAGTAACTCCCCAAAATAAATAGTAGACTTTTGGTAAGTGTAGAAGTCTTTCTTAGGTTCATTTTTTCCTATCTTACCCTCTGTTGTTTATTGCAATTTTGTGTTCAAATTAAGTATTACAGTATCTCTTGAAAATGTAAAACAATTTATCACCACCTGTAGAAGTTAGGGTTAGTATTGCAGTATCTCTTGAAAGTGTAAAACTTCTACAATCACCTGTAGAAGTTCGTATTCATGTTTGGGTGCTTATCCTTTTAATCTGTTTTATTCATACATATGTATGCTTAGTTTATTGTTAGTTTGAATTGCTGTAGTCTGCAGTCTAACATTTTTATTTAATATGCCATGGATTTTTCTTCTTCTAGAGCGTAATCTTGGTGCGGTCTACATAATATTCCTACAGGTCATTTTCAATTTTTCAGCATTTTAAGGGAGTTTAAATGAGTATCCCTTCATGGCCATTGTGCATGTTCCAAGTTATTTCCTTTTGATGCATGTTTTTAAATAAATTTGATGCACATTTCCAAAATGTCCTCTAGTAAAAGTTTTACTTATATGCTTTCAACTCTATATGAGAATACTTTTTTTCATATGCTGATCAATATTCTTTCTGTCCCTTAATCTTTGCTAATTCAGTAAGCCAAAGTTACAGTCTCACATTTCAATTTGTATTTTTGATACTAATATGAAAATCCATCCTCATTTATTAACTATTTATATTTATTTTTGTATAGATTATTCATGTTCTTCCTCCATTTCCTGTTGTTCTTTGTCTTTTGTTTATTAATTTATGAGTTTTTTAATTTAAGAATATAGCAATGCATGGCTATAATCATATGCACTTTTTCCCAGAGTTGTTTTTGCCTTTAATTTTGTTTATGTGTATGAGTTTTAGTTTTATTTTTAGAAATTCTAAATTTCCTAATAGTCAAACGTTGGCCCTAAAATCTTTGTTTGAATTATTTCTGCTTGATCTTAAGCCTAAGTATGCTTTAAAAATTTCCTTCACCTCTCACCATGAAATCATATATGTATTTTGATCTTTTTACTCTTTCATGATTTTCTCACTCCAGCTACATCCAACAGGGTTCTTTCATATTATTATGACTCTATCTCCCTTCTCTCTCCCTCTCCCTCTCTTCTTTCCTCTCCCTCCTCTCTCCCCCTCTCTCTCTTCTCTCCTCTCCTTCTTGCTCTTCTCTCCTTTCTCCTCCCCTCCTCTCTTTCAATAGAGGTTCAGGAAATTAAATCTAGGACCTTTGCACTGAGACATAGTCCCAGCCCTTTTTACTTTCTGTTTGGAGACAAGGTCTCACTAAGTTGTTACATTACCCAGGCTGGGCTTGAATTTGCAGTCCTCCTGCCTCAGCCTCCCAGAATGCTGTGATTAAAGCCATGCATTGCTATACCCAGCAATTACTTTTCTCTTTTAATTAACTTTATTTCCACCAGAGATACGCATGCATATAGTTTTAAAAGTCAAATCATTCTGTTAGACTTCTGAAAAAGCCTATTTTCTAATTTACTAGTCCCTTTCTCTGGTTTCCAAACACCAGAAATAATTACTTTGCACTCTTTATGCTATTTCTTTACTATTTCTAGTTCTGTCTAAATAATGTTATTTTGAATTTCTTGATATTTTTTAGTTTTAGGAATTATGTTTCCTAACCCTGGAAGAGTAGTTTTAATCATTGTATATGCAAGTACTTGTCTTCCCATCTTCCCAGTACACTATATAATGTTTTGAGTTAGATTAATATTCTGGGTTTACCATATGATTTGTATTAAATTCAGCTTACCCATGTAACGTGTTTACTTTTTATTTCTTGTACAATTTTTGTTTTCTCTGAGGGTAAAATTATCCTATTATTTGACTGCTTATTTTTTTATATACTTACAAGAACTCAGGTGCAAACTGTGTCCTGTTTGTGTAAATCTCTTCTTGCTGTGTCCCAGCACATCTGTCTCGGGGCCGCATCTCTGGGAACCTCTGGGCCTGTCCGCTCTGGCCGATTCTTCTCACACAGTATGTGGAGTTCATTGACCTGCCTTCTTGCATTCTGCTGATAACTTCCTTTCCTTTCTTTATGATTTAGATTTCCTTTGGTGGATCCATGTGGCACACCTTTTCTAGGAAAGTCTGAGCAAGGGTAAATATGAGATGAATTTTGAGACATTGTCTGAAAATGTTTTTAGTCTATCATTATTCTTGGTTAATAGTTTAGTTGAAATAGAATTCTAGGTTAGAAATTCTTTCTTTACCAAGTTTTGAAGGTGTTGTCAAACTTGCTGTAGACAAGTTCAAAGGCCTTCAAATTCTTGTTCTGTGTATGTGATCTATTTTTTTCTTTTTAGAATCTTCAATATATTTTCTTTGTCCCCAGTCCTATGGATTTTACAATGACTCCATGGTACTGGATGGTAAATAGATCTTTTCCCCCTTGAAATCAAGGTCTTTTTTCCTGTTGTTTTCTTTGTGGAACTCTTGTTAATGATATGTCAGATCTTCTGGATTGAACACCTTATTTTCCCTTTTTTTCTCTTTTCTGCTCATTATTTCACTCCTTTTGGTGGTATTTGTTTACTCTGCCTTCCAATTTAAACCCTTAGGTTTTGTTTCCTCATTACATTTTTAAATTTCTCAGAACATTTTCTTAACATTTTTTTCATTTTTTATAGCACCAGTTATTTCATAGTGTCATAAGGTTAATCAGAATTTTTTGTGTCTGTTTAATTTCAGTCTTCTTTTTCTTTTTGTTTATATTTGTCTTTTATATTAGAATTCTAAGTCTATATTTTTACCCTACCACTTAAAAGTGTTTTCCACCAGGTTTTGGCCCCCGTGGTATATGACAAAAAGTTTTGTAGTCTTTCACATCATCAGTCCCCAGTACGTAATGTGTTGGTTTTACTCTGCTTCCAGAATGTTTTTCTCATTTTTAGTTTTCAGCAGATATCAGCTGTTCTGATATCTAGAGTTCATTCTGTACTCTGAACTCCAAATTTCAGTTGAGTTTCTTAATTTTGTCAAATGAATGTCTTTTATCAGATTTATTAAATTTGGGTCGCTATCCTTCAGGGTTTTTTTTTGCCTCATTTGTTTTTCTGTGAGACTCCAGTCACTTGTGTGTTTGACCTTTAGATATGGTCCCACAAGTCCACAGAGTCTGGGTTTTTTAAATGCTTTTTTATCTGTCATTTGTCACAGTTGATTTGCCATCAGATTTATTGAGTTTTCTGTCTTCTCCATGATGAATTACAATAGTTGCTTTAAGTTCCTGTCAGAACTATAGAATCGTAGATTTGACATCTGTTGATTATCTTTTCTCTTGAGAATGGGTCATATTTTCTTGTCCTACATATGTTACATAATGTCACCTTTTTTTCATAGACATTTTGAATGCCACTTTGGGAGATGTAGGGTTCTATGATACTGCTCTAAAGATGTTGATGATTGTTTTCTGGAGATAGTTTACCAGGGGACACTCAAAGTGCTAACTGTGTTGATGTCCCTGATAGGTAGCAGCTCCTGTTCCAGTTCAGGCTGACAGTCTGCCCCAAGCAAGTATGAGTCAGAAATCAGCCAGGGTAGAGAGTATGTCCAGAACGTAGACTATTCTCCCTACTCCCCTTTCTGGGGATTCCATCCCTGCTCCTGCATGAGTAGTAGCTGCCCTGCATCTCCGTCATCATAACTGCAACCTTCCCTCCAGCCCAAACTACAAGTTCTGTTCCTTTCCAAACCTGCTTGCTCTTGTTAACTCTCAAGTGCCCTAAAAGTACGTTTTTATGCCCATTTTGTTGGCTTTTGCATGTATTTTGTGCAAATTTCATATTTATTTGCTGAAGGGTTGATATGGTAAAACTTTACCCCTCCATAGTAGAAGCAGAGCCTCATGTTTCAGATCAGGGGCTTTCTCAGGATGTCTGGTGTCTTCAGCCATGAGATTGTGAAGTACCGTTGAATCTATGTGAATGAGACTAACAGTGAGCTTGACTCTCCAAATGTGAGCACTGTTCATCCAGCTGAACCATCTCATTGGGAACCCTCATATTTATAGCTCTTATATCTCTCCTCTGCCCTGCCTAGAGGGCAGAGACTTAACTGTGCTCTGCGTTGGGGGAGGGGTGAAAAACAGTAGCTGTTTCTCAATATTTCTCTCTCTCTTTCATCTCTCTTTTCTTCCTTTGATCTGTTGTTAGTAACTCCTAAGGTAAAGAAGATTATTGTTCTTTATTTTATCTTTTTAATGCTAGAATGAGTGGTCCAAAGATTAGTTAATATTTCAAATACCTACCACTTTCCCTGTGTTTAGACTCTTCACATTCCCACCTTGAACCACTCTGGTGTCACCAATATCAGATACTTCAGATATTCTGCAGCATAAGTTAACTATTTCTTTTTTGTTGTTGTTTTTTGTTTGTTTGTTTGTTTGGGGTTTTGTTGTTTTTATCGGTACCAGGGATCGAACTCACGACCGCACACTTGCAAGGAAGGTGCTTATGCCACTGAGCTAAATCCCCAGCCCCCAAGTTACACTATTTCTTGCCCAGATTCAGACTTCCTCAATTCAAATACCACCTGGCATGCTTTCTAGCTTCCAGAGAGTCACTTCTGTTCTCTTTTGTGAATTTATTAGGAGGGTGGTTACATAACACCTCTTACTATCATTTTACTAGAGGTTTGGGAAGACCCACAATTTAAATAGACATTTTAATTCATAATCTTTATCTGGCTTTTTTTAATTTTCTTTTTCCTTTTAGTCTTCATTCCTTCTGTTATTTTGATAAATGACACTAATGGAAGTTTTTTTTCCCCCAAATATGTCTGCTGTCCCAATCTTCTGTTTACTGGAATAGTCTTTCCCCCATTGAATAAGATACTATTCATATACTATTCTTATACTAGAATAAGATACTATTCATAAAATACACTGAGGTACTATGCATGCTGTGCATATGTCTAATCTTTCCATTCTTTTGATCAGCACCTCTACATTTTTATTCATCTGTTATTCCAGATGAACTTTAGAATTTTTCATTAAACCTGTCTCTGATCTCTACAGCTCCTGTACTCCAGAAAAGTATGTTTATACATATATACATATATATGTACACATTTACCAATCTATATGGATGGTTATCCGTATGATCAGATTATTACTAGCATTCACTCATTAAATAGGGGAGAATTGCCATCTTTGCATTCAGTATACTTGCTCCAATCTTATATATACACAGTTGAGTCAATACATGTGAAGTACCTCCTTCTGCTAGAGCTCCTTTCGGTATTATAGACAGTGGTGAAGAGAACACCATAGCTCCTAGTGTCATATTATCAAATCTGTATATTTCTTACTGAATTCAATTCTAAGTGTGTTATATATTTGTGGCAGTTGTGAATGTATTTTTTTTTTTTTTCTGTCTCTTTCCCAGCCAGTTATTACGGGAAGACAAGAAAATTGTTCATTTCCCTTCAGGCCCTCTGAGGTCAATGTTTCCTGTGCCAAAAATGTGGCACCCCACTTCTCCATCCCATCTCCTGGCCAGTCCATGGAGGTTTTCCCAGAGTGCCACCTGCTTCTTGTTGAGATTTGACAGTGACTCAATTACAGTTTGATGAGCAACAGTAACTCTTAGGGATCTCATTCAAATACAGTTGTCACAGAGGGTTAATTGTTATTCTGAAGTTTGGTGTGGAAAATTTTATGACGTCTAATTTCTTCATTCAGACTTATTATCCCTCAAGGTTTTCTTTGTTCTTGAGCCTCTTTGCCTCTCCAGCTGTCAGTTTGGTTTTGTTCCCATTTAATTTCATGCCAGACTCATACAGTAATGAGGGCACAGCCAGAGGATCTGGCTCAGAAGTGAGGGGGAAGGGGGAATGATTTAAAAGAGTTCATATAATTCCATTTTTAGTTTTATGTTCTTTGATAGCATGCCCTCAAAACTAAGCAAGTGATAGAAATGAGAGTTAATCTTCTAAATATCCTACATAAGTTTAATTTCTTTAAACTTTTGTTACATCATAGTTGGTAAAAACACTTCACTAATTTTATGGGCTCTTTTCCCCTAGGTGATGGTCACGCTACATCATTGCTGTTTATTGATTTCTCCTTCCCCAAAGGCTATGGCAATTCCCAGCTTCACTCTGATCCACAGGTCTCATTCTCCTCTCTGATGTCCAGGGTCACCAACTCCTTTGTTTTTGTAGCATTCATATATGTGGGTGTGAGGGAAGCAGCTGATGTTTGACTGACTGTCAACCCTGTCTTCTCCAGATTCTGTGCTGCTTCTGCTATAGCATATACACAGCCAGACTTTGGGTAAATGATTCCAGGTTGTCAGAACACTAATTTATCAAAACCATTTTGATATCTAGGTACGGCTTCTACTTCTACCTTCTGTTAGTGTTACAAATTTCCAAATTTTACTTGTATCTCTTTCATTTACTTTCTAAGTTTTTAAGAAGACATTTTTGTTCTGTGGCTTTGAAAGATAGGGTACAGTATGAAAGCCATCAGTCAAGTGGATCTGAGTTCAAGTCAGTTACCAGTTAGGTGACCACACTTCCCACTGTGGCTATATTGTGGCTTTTTAAAAGAAAGGCAATATTTTGGAAGGCTCTTTAGTAGAAAGACAAAAAAAACTTGTTACTTTGTGTTATATTCCTTATAAGTCTAAGTTGCTCTGTTTTCTTTGTTGTTCAGAATTGAGCCGAGTAACATCCCCCTTGTTAATTCATTATCAATTGGGTAAACAAAAAAAAAAATAAAAACAATGTTAGGAAAGGACAAGATTGGATATAACCAAGATTAGATATAATCTTGGATAGAGACCATAAATAAATCCCCTAGTCCCTTCATAGTCTGTGTTTTCTCTTGATGGACAGTAGTGATACATGCCCCTCAAGGTTTGAGTTCCTGTTCTTTCCCTCTTTCTCCTGCCCCCACCATGCTACCCACCTCAGTTCTTAACTACACAGCTGTATGCTTTCTTCCTGGTATTCAGCTTTACTCTCACATTGTTTTCTTCTAACTGTTCTTCAGCCTCCCTGCCTCTAACTTACCATAGGCACTTCCTACTGGCTTAGTCAGGTGCTCCCCAAAAGACTGATTCTAGGTATAAACTTGGGAGTTGTGCTGGGTACATATGAAGATTTAAGAAACTGGTCGGTTAGAAATGACCAGCCATATGTAAAAGAGCTCCTTGGCAGTGTAGTCTTTTACCACACTTAGTAACCCTCAGCAGCGGGAGACTGATGTGAACTCTTGAGTTCTTAGCAGAACTCTGAGCTCTGCTCCTAAGTAGTCAGTAGTCAGTAGTCAGTAGTTGACGGTGGTATTTGCTTTTTCTAGTCTTATGATTATATTCACTGCAAATATAAACTAGGAAATTCTTGAGAGGAAGTTGCTTAGACAATATTGAGGATCAATATTTTATGTTTTGTGTTATAATTCTTCTAGTCCTTAGTATAGGCTAGTTTTTTGTTTTGTTTGTTTTGGCGGGGAGAGAGGAAAGCATACCAGGTAGTTTTAAGAGTCTGCTGTGGTTCATATGTAGGGTATGGGAATCCTTCTAGACTGCTGTCATTCCTTTGGGCAAGAGCTTCCTGCATTGTTTGCTGTTCTCCATTGAAGTCATAATTAACGCCTGGGCTTTCATTCATTTGGGTCCCCTCAGATACACCTATGAGCGAATTGATGGGCGAGTACGGGGAAACCTGCGCCAGGCAGCCATCGACCGATTCTGTAAGCCAGACTCAGACCGCTTTGTCTTTCTTCTGTGCACCAGAGCGGGAGGCCTGGGGATCAATCTCACAGCTGCTGATACCTGCATCATATTTGATTCTGACTGGAACCCACAAAATGACTTGCAGGTAACCTTTAGGATGATTGTTCTTTACCTTAGCTCCCCTAAATCCCATAATACAGTGCCAGGGTCTGGCTTGGCTACAGATTGTCTGCCATGCTCTGTGCTGTGATGTTGGCTTAGGGTCGTGATCAGGGGATAAAAACTAATGAAAAGTAAATTTTATCTCTTCCCACTAATGAGAGAATGTTTCTGTCCTTTTGCTTTAAATGAGGTGGTGTTTCCCTTTGGTAGCCTGCATATGTAGAGCAGAACTACTGTTATTATCAAAGATACCTGGCACTTTTCTTCAGTTTGTTTGTTAGTGGTCGTACATCGTATAGAGTAAACAACCTAACCCAAAGAGACAGGAAAGTGTCATAATATGGCAGCAGTGACAGAGGCACTCTCACTGTAGTCCATTTGCTCTGCACAATTAATACAGCATGTAAGAGTTCATATGTGCCTGAGTGATTTTTCAGATTCTATTTTCTACTCTCAACTAAACTAAGTAACAGACCTCTTAAACGATTACTGCAAAAATACATTTTAAAAAGGAAAGCAATACGAAAATGGAAGAGCATGGCTTGAAGTTCTTCATTAACCATATTTCAAAGTACAGTGATATTCTAATCAGATTAGGCAGGGGATAAGCCCCCCCCAAAATTCTTAACTTCTCAAGGAGACTATTTGCAAGGTACATTTTCAAACATTATTAATAATGATGAACTTAATCCTTAGTGCATATTGTATCTTGGGATATTTATTGATACTAGAATTGTCAGTGGAGTGGGGAAGGTAAGGAGCTGGCTCAAGGCATTTTTCATAGATTGATCAAAAGAAATTAGGAAGCTGAGGCTTCACCTAACTCGAGGGACCCTACGGATAAAGCAAGACGGAAGATGGACTTGAGCTGATGGCTCTCTGAACTTCTTCCTACCCACTCATTCGGTCGAGTTGTTTGGCTTTGATTTGTAGTTAATGAGTTTCCAAATAAGCTAATGCTTAAAGAAAACATCCTAGAACTCAGGATACTGAGGGAAAAAGATCGCTATAAATTTGAGGCCAGACTGTCCTATAAAGTGAGTCCAAGGCCAGCCTGAACTGATAGTGAAAACCTGTCTCAAAAAAGACCAAAAAACAAGCAAACAAACAAAGTAGTTGAAAAACCAGTGCTTTAAATTATTAAATTGGTGACAACTGCCTAAAATTCAGAAAACTGTGGTACTTATCATAAAGCAAATCGCATGGCACTACTACTTTCAACATCCAGCTTCAGAGAAAACCAGTGGTTATGAACAGCTGTCAGCTCTTTCTCCTGGTCAAGGGATGTTTGGATAAAATGAGATGCTACATATAAGTAATCAGTTTTTAAAGGACAAGCATATACTCAACATTAAAATAATAATAAACAAAAATCACTATCAAGAACTGAATTAGGGTAGTGATAGAGAGTATGGAAAAATACTTTTTCCCCTCACTGCCTTTTTTTTGGTACCAGAGATCAAACTCATGACCTCGAACTTGCAGGCAAGTGCTTGTGCCACTGAGCTAAGTCCCCAGGTCCCTCACTGCCTTTTTAAAAAAGTTTCATTGAAATACAACCACATCCATTTATGTATTTTCTCTAGTCAGTTTCATGTTACAAGAGTTGAATTGTTGGAACAGAAGAAATAACATATCCCCCAAAACCTGAATTATTTGCTATCAGTCCATTGGCAGAAGTTTGTCAACTCCCAAACTGGTGATTTCTTTTTTTTTTTTTTTAATAATTTTTTTTTTAATTTTAAAGAGATTAAGACAAAAGAGAACATAACAAAGCAGATCAGAACAGAATAATGTAAGCCACACAGTATTTCACCACAAGACAACCCATAATTAACAGTAACTACCATAATGTCTCTTTTTGAAATAGTTGAGCATAACTTCATATACAATAGTATCAAACAGAACAAAATAGTATAAAACCATTCAAGAGAATGAAAGTATTATAGGGCATTCAGAACCAAATAACAGAGAACAAAGAATGGCTACTATATTATCTCATTTTCCATAGAAAATGTATTTATACTATCACACATAATAAAATCCAATAAGATACAATATGATAGAACCAATGGAAACAAGAATAAAAGCATGGTAGGACTTCAGAGTAAGATGATATTAAATCAGCACTGGCTATTATAATGTCTTGTTTTCTTCAAAATAGCTGTTCACGCCATCACAGATAATAAAATCAAACAAACCAGGATAAAATCATTCCAACTAATAAATGCAAACATTATAAGGCTTCAAAGCAATGTAATGGGAAATCATGATTACCATAAACTCTTATGTACTCTTAACCATTTCTTACACTAGGGAGTCTATAAGGTGGGCTATACATGTGAGTTTTATTTCACTTACGAGTATGGTCTCAAGTTGCATCCATTTAAGTAATAAATATCTCAATGTGATCATTCTTTATAGCTGAGTAGTACTCATTGTATAAAAATACCACAATTTTTTATCCATTCCTCAGTTGATGGCCACTTAGGTTATTTCCAAGATCTGGCTATTACAAATTGTGCTGCTATAAACATGGGTGCACATATATCATTGTGGTATGATGTTTTCAGTTCTTCTGGGAATATGCCTAGAAGTGGAATAGCTGGGTCGAATGGGACTTCTAATCCTAGGTTTTTGAGGAATCTCCAGACTGACCTCCACAAAGGTTGCACCAATCTACACTCCCACCAACAGTGCAGGAGAGTTCCTTTTTCTCCATAGTCCCTCCAGCATTTATTGTTGGTAGTTTTCTTGATCTTGGCCATTCTTTCAGGGGTGAGATGGGATCTCAGTGTGGTTTTAATTTTCATTTCTCTAATGACCAATGATGATGAACATTTGTTCATGTATTCATTTGCCATTTGTATTTCTTCATCTGAGAACTGTGTATTCATCTCAGATGCCCATTTTTGGATTGGGTTTTTGAATTTCAGGGGTCTGATTTTTTTTTTTTTAATTCTTTATATGTTTTAGACAGAAGTCCTTTGTCTGAGGGACAGTTCACTAAGATTTTTTTCCCAGCAAACTGGTGATTTCTTAACTTCTCAGTAGCAGTATCCTTTCATATTCCTTTGTGATGCCTGCTTGACTATGAGGCATTGTACAGTACCTGGGAGAATGATGGTATTACGCCAAACTGAGGACCAAGCATTTAACAGATACAAACTAGAACAGTTCCCAAGGGTGACCTACAGATAAAATAGCCACATACTGGAAAGCACACACACATTTGGTGAGTAGAATTTGACCTTTAAAACTTGATATAAACTTTTTTTAGATCTGTCTCTCCATAAAGCAATGACTTTGAATGTCCTGTGTTGTTTCTTTTGTCTTGTTAGAATCTGAGGAGCCCAATAAATCATATCCTCCTCCCATGTCTAGATCTGAACCCAATTAAAAAGTAACCATGAGTTACAATAGAAGATTAAAACATTAGTTTTAGGAAATTTGGAAGATAATTAAATGCTGTAACTTAGCCTGTAGCCAGAATTAAGCTTCTTAAGATCCCTGCACATACACACCCTCATCCCTAGGTTAAATTTACCCATCGAGTCTTCTGGCAGCCATCTGCAGAGCAGGGGCTACGCTGGTAAACCTGCCAGTGACAAGAAAACTCCTGTGTTCAAGAGATGGGGAAGAGGGGCAGTCTATACCAGCTCAAACCCTGCCCCATATTTCATTGGTCTGGTAAGTCACTCCTTTAGGGTGGAAAGAGAAGAGGGGCTTGGTATGCTTCATCTTGAAATAATGAGAGACGAGAAATAAGACTCACCACACCCACCACGGTATTTATTCTCTTAGCCTCATATCACTTTTTTTGCCCTCCAAAATCCTCCTTCTAGGAAAGTGAAGGCACAAGTTCATTAGTACCCAAAATGGGAACTATTTAGAAATAACGAAAGAGATTAAAATTAGTAATAAAAATCTCAGCAATGTTAATGTTTTATCTGGGCTATCAGTTTTTTAGTTTTCCGTATTAGAAAGTTCTTATCTAAAGATATTATATTATTAACTATATCTCCTCTCAAATCTTGAATATGTTGGTTTTAGCATCATTATATGTAGAATATTCAAAAGTATAAATTCACTTTTTGCCTCCCTCATTTCAAAGTACAGGCTGTGATCCCAGACTTTTAGCAGCAGCAAGCATTGTTTCTAGGTTTTCTATAATACTTAAGCTGAAGATGTGGCAAAGGGAGGTGACAACAACTTGAGAAAGAAAAAGAGAAATGAAAAATGTGTTGCTTTTCTTCTTAGAAAGAAGATAGTCTTGCTGATTGCCATAAAGGCAGAGTTGGGAATAGCAAGCTATTGCCCCAACATCACAACAAGCATAACAAGCATATCCCTTTTTTTTTTTTCTTCAAACAGAGTCTCACTAAATTGCCCTGGCTGGGCTTGAACTTACAGTTATGCTACATTAGATTCCCAGAGTGCTGATATCACAGGCATGTGTTACCTATCCAGCTATGCCTTTCTTTCTCATGAGCTTTCTCTTTAATTGCTGTGTGATACTTGTTTTTTGTTCTCTGGCAGGCTTTTTGTACTTTGTGGTAAGAGTTCCTTAGGGTTAAACAGAGGTCAAGATAATGGTGAGATTTCATGATTCCATGACCTCTCTTTGGCTAAGGTCCCTGAAGGCAGAATTCAAAAAATGTGGCAAGAGGTATGCTGGCCAGGAGCTGCCAGTCTGTAGGATTTTGGAAGGGAGAAGAGAATCCAGCCTGAGGAAGCTGAGCCCCTTCCTTAATCACCAGGAGCAGGACTTCAGGAGCCAGCCACACTGCTCTAAGCGAGAGGCTGGTCTTGTTAGCCACTTCACCTGCTACCACCTTAATGCTACCACAACCTGTTTCTTGATGTTATATGTATAACCGAGCTTGGAGGATTACACCAGTTTGCCAAAAGAAAGTAAAGAGTATTAGGTATGTGCTCAAGTAATCCATTTATTTAGTGAGTATCTGTTGAACCCGGAGGTGC